TTTACAGTTTTTCATTTACATCAGTAAAATTATGCGTTCAACTGATAAATATTCTTACATATAATTAAATCTAATAAAATTTGTAATTATTGATAAGAATAATTTCTTTTGCATAATCATTTTTTTCCTATCTTGCATCATAATTTCCAAAATATTTCAGTGTAATATTCGCTAATTTAACAAAAAAAAATGTTTACCTCACATTTTTATCTTTATCTAGCCAATTCTTTAATTTTTAATTCTACGAAAAAGTCAAAAAGAAGGAAGCTGTTGGGCATTAAATTTTCTACAAGAATATGCATTGCTTTAATATCTTACCTTCAACTTTCTATAAGTTAGAGCAATTATAACTTTTTTGTAAATTCTGAAGTTTTATAGTAATATCTAACTTCCATATTTTTCATTATTCTACTGCTCTAAATTCTTATATAAACCAATAATAATGTATAAAAATATAAATATAAATAGTACATGCTATAAATGTACTTAAATAATGTATAAATGTTTCATGTTACTTAAATAAGTAACATGAAATATATTAAAGTTCATATTATTTATTATATACTATATTTACTGGTATAATTGTAGTCATTAAAAGAAATATAGCCCTGGAGCCAGGCACCAAAAATTGACCTCATCGCAGGCGAAGATTTGGATGTAAATTACGAAAGTATGTTATTTTAAGTAAAATGAACATTGTCTGTTATTCCAGAGCTGCTGCTTTCAAAAATGGCAGCTAGTTCAAAGAATATTAGACCAGTAACTTGAGGATTGAAACGGGAAATATATTGTAAAAACTGTAGGAAAAGTTGAATGAATGAAAACATGTTTATTATCATAAAGCAAATAGATACAAAATACAATATTCATATAAATGTTACAACACATAGACAATGAGGCCCTACTGCTCTCACGGTTTAACTCTTACAAAGAAATATATAATTCAAATCCTGCTGTCGGTGTCCTTTTTTCAGAAATAATATAATTTAATTTTTATGATCACTTACAGATATTTAAATGTTCTGTTGATTTTGCTAAAAAGTTAATCTAAAAAATGACTTATTCATAGCTACTCAAACAAACAACATATTAGAATCATGTATAATTCATTTAAGACAAATTATAACTCTAATCTAAGCCCAATTACTGTTTATTTTTATTTTACCAAACTTTTTTTTACAACTTGAATAAATAAAAGTTTAACTTTTACCATAAACCTGGAAATTTATTACAAAAAAGTTTCATAAAGCTTTAATTTTACGATGTTTTTTCCTAAAAGTTTCATAGAAACTGTTAAAATGGAACTTTTTCCTAAAATATTTCACAGAAACTGTTAAAATGGAACTTTTTATAAAAGATTCAATCCCTGGTAAAAAATAAAACCTAAAAAGAGTACTAAGCAAATCAGCTGACATATAATTCATCATTTAAGAGACCGCTTTAATTGTAAAGCAGGTAGAGACTTTGTGTCAAACATTGGCTGATTAATATACTGGAGACCTACAGGCATATGGAATTATAATCATTCAAACAAAGAACGATATGTTTTCTACCCATGAAGCTTCAAACCGCTGTGAGACATTCTCATATGCCTGGTCTGAGAGTGATACCGCCTCAGCTGTCTCAAATATAACTGTCAGAAATAGTAAGCTGTAATTTATCAAACTTTTTATACAGTGTACATCAAACTGCTTATGAAGTTTCTAGGCAACCATAGAGCTGTTGCATTTTTCTTAGTCTCTTCCTCAACCAAGTACGATTGATATTGAGGAAGCAGAGAAGAAATTTATATTTTAGTGGTACAGAGGAACCTGCTGCTCCAATAAAGCCAGACATATATCATGTAGGAAATTTATAAGAAGTTATTTTAAAATGTTAAATACAAATTACTGTTCACTATGGAATCTCTACGCCTATAGCAATGCTATATTTTAAATAATACTGTTCAACGTATGTATTAATTGTACAACATACATTATGTAGAGGATTATTATGGCTCTGAAATAAAGATTCAGCAATTCTCAATAAATTGCCAATTTAGAGTATTTCCGTCATGTATAGAGTCATTACATTTCTATAGAGACGAGCGATGGAGCTCTAGAAATAGCTCTATTGGACTCTCAATGTCGACAATAGGATTCTATGAAACAATATTATTTTTAAAAACAACAAATTTATCTGAAAATATAGTATATAATACATATCTATTACATAACTATTGGAAAGAAAACACGTAGATCTAGGCATGAGTCTGCCATTTAATAAATGTAATGACCAGCAAAAATTTAATGCAGTGCCACGACTAGATCTAACACAACCTGTAAGTAAACACCAAACACCTGGATGGGAATTGAAAGCGCTTGCAATGGAAACAATAAATAGCCGCTATTCCGAGCAGAATTGGCTCCACATATACACCGACGGCTCTGCTCAAACAGCTACGCGGAATGCAGGAGAAGGAGTATACTGCCAAGATTTTATGTTACCCATCCCTGCTGGTAGCCGGGGAACAAACTTTGATGGAGAAGTGAAAGCCATTTCAGCAGCATTGACTGCAATAGACAAAGAACTCACCTATTCCCAAGTTGTGATCTTTGTCGATTTACAAGCAGCCAAACTGTCGATCCGCAATGGCCTGGGCCATCCTGATGTCACAAGTGCCAGAAATCAGATTAATAAATTAATTGAAAAACGAATCAGAGTGACTTTCCAATGGGTTCCAAGCCATTGCGGTCAACCAGGAAACGAAAAAGCTGATGAGCTCGCACGGATCGCCTCGGAAATGCCACAAACTAATCCTCTGCTGGCCTACGAATCTGTAAAAGGATTTTAAAATCCTTTTACAAGGAAGAGAACAAGAGTTGGCAAAAGCGACAGGAGGCGGGGCAAAATGGGAATCTTTAACAGAGGAGTCGATGAAACAAACAAAAATAGGAAAGAATCAGTGGCAAATTTCCGAATGGCAACAGGGCACGATTACCTGCAAAGGCATTTACGTAGGAATGGAGTGATGGAAAGCCCTATGTACCCTCTTTGCCAACAGGACGCGATGTACGACCTGCACCTCTCAGTTCGCCCCCCCGTTCTGTCAGATTTCCGTAGTACTTCTGATGGGATCGGTACAAATTCAAACAAAGGAATCATGGCAGAGTTGTATTGGGCTACCAGGAGCCGAATGGCCAAATATCCAACGGCAGAGGTGTTTAATAATAATTTTAAAAAACATATCTTTTTTTTAAATTTTATTAATTGGCTTAAATCACCGCGACCCTTAATGGATCTATTTTGCGCCATTATGCAGTTTCTTCAAACATTATTTTTGTCGCTTCCGCATATCTCAATAGGCTTGTTATCCATATTACTTATTCAAGTGCTACTTATGCAAATAGCACATACTATTTATATATATAAATACGTAAATGTTGGCTTATATAAAGATTTAGAGCAATAGAATAATGAGAGTAGGATAAGTTTTCTGCTTAATCTAAGGATTTTCAAGTAGGTAATAATAAATATTAGGTGATAATAGATATTTACATGTTAGGTAATAATAGATATTCTTGAAGAAAATTCAATTGTCAACAACTTTCTTCAACATGATATCTTTGTGGAATAAAGAAATAAGGAGTTGGCTAGTCATATGAAGTTTATAACATATGGCAAAAACACCTCTTTACAAAATTAGTGAATATTGCACACAAATATTCCTCAGAAACTGTGAGCCAACAAAAAAATGAATATCATCAATCCCATTTCAAATGTTGATATTTTAAATTTTTTATAGAATGTCATTATTGCTAGAACACATAGTTTCCCTGATAAATGAGAAAAACCAAAAACCTGATCTTGATGCCCTACCACCCCATACTCACCTCCTACGAGTGGATAATACTGATATGTTTACCTCCTAACTAGGTCCAACAAAGCCCTAAAGTAAAATAATTTATACCTTCCATTTCCCTCTGAAGCCCCTTTTTCGAGCACTCATTGACTGCACTACTCGTAATAGGAAAAATTGACAAGTAATTAAAACTATATTTTTTAACCCGAAATTAGTAATTAGTACTAAAACTAAAACAGAAAAAATTTCAATGATTACACATTTCATCATAAATGCACAACAAATAATTCATCACTATGTTTTTTCTATATCATCCAAGGTGATAAACAGTTCTTTTTGTTATTATTATTATTTTTTTTTACATTCCAAATAATATTACAGTGCTACATAAACAATTAAATTAATTTTTTTATTATATTAATTATAATATTTATTTTTTTTTGTTAATTTTGGGAAAAGTTCCTTTAGAATATCATGGAAAATTAAATGTTGAATTTAGAACCTTAGTGTAAAAGAAAACGAATGTACTTATAATGATAATGAAATAATTATAAATTAAAAGGTAACATTAAATTTTACATCATTTAAACTAAATAAGCAATATGAGAAGGAGTTAGTCAGGGGTGCGGTCAGATAAATACTAAATTAAAATATAGTAATTATTTTATTTTAATTTTGCCGACGTTTCGACCCACTTTGCAGGGAGGCAGTTGAAACCAATTTTGTTTCAACTGCCTCCCGCAGTGCTACATCCTACGCCCTGAAGACGACCTGCAAAGTGGGTCGAAACGTCGGCAAAATTAAAATAAAAAAATTACTGAAGAGAAGAATAGTTGGGCTGGTCAGTCAAAAAAGAAGGCAAAAATAAATAATAATATTTATTTTTACATATGCCGACGTTTCGACCTGACGTAAATCGCTTATTATTTTTGCCTTCTTTTTTGACTGACCACCCCAACTATTCTTCTCTTCATTATCCACGACAGTCAACCATATACCAATTATAAAATAATTACTATATTTTAATTTAGTATTTATCTGACCGCACCCCCGACTAACTCCTTCTCATATTATATCAACGGTCAACCATCTCTACATCATCATTAAATAAGCAATAATTTTAAGCAATGAAAACTTTAATAATTTGAAAAACTCTTACGTAATGGAATGTTCTATGAAATGTTTAAGCATTTCGCTAACAGAATTTCCTTTTGCTTTTGTTTGGTTTTCTTAAATTTACAGTGTCACTGTTTGGAATACCCTGCCTTTCCTTCCTTTCTTTTTTTGATCGTAACACCTGCTTGGTTATCGCCAAAAACATCTAAACAAACAAAATTAAATTAAATTTAAAAACAAATACAACAAATAGAAATTAGAGTAACAGCTTATAAATAAATTTAACAGAAAAATAATAAATTAATAAAATATCATAAAACTATTAAATTTAAGTTAATAAAGTAAGAAATTTAAGTAAAAACTTTAATAAATTTAACAGAAAAATACTAAGTAAATTTATAGGTATTGTATATTGATGACCTCGGGGTTTTACGTCTCTAAGCCGTAAATAACATATATAGGTAAGTGAAAGTAAAAACTGTCAACAATTCGCCAATTGAGGCGCCATCAGGATAGAAGAGAACAGCAAATCGAACATCATTCCATGGCAACCAATTGCATACTGAGTATACGATGAGAGTACGCAATTTGTTGTCATGGACCACTTCATTATTTACTGTTCTATTCTGTCCTGATCATTCCTGAATTTTTTTTCCTTTGCTACATTTTGGAGACATAGGGCTGTGTAGTCGGAATTTTTACAATTATAAGCTAACATTTACGTGTCTATTGTTGAGTTTTTTACTGATTCAAGTAAGATTAATTTGTGGCATAAAAAAATAAAAATATCCCTTTATTTTATTGTGTATAGTTAAGTAGAAGTAAAAATTAAAATAATGAGGATCAGGAGACCCTTCTGCACCACACCAAGCCACTAGAAAGTTGGTACTCTTTATTTAGGGAGAAACTTGACCAAATCACCTTCTTTAAATGTTTTCTTTTTTTCAATATAATAATCTGTCACTTGTAGAAAACTCGTAGCAACTGATTAAAACATAAAATAAAATAAAAATAATAAAAGGCTTAGCGAACCTGGAGGCTAGATGCCAACACCAATAATCGCATATTACACACCTCCCTCCACCGTTCACCGTCCAAACCCAGTCCCTTCAGATCGCCTTTAACGCAATCTTCTCACTTTCGCTTCGGTCTACCTCTTGGACGTTAACTATTCAGTATAGCAAATATCAACCTTTTAGGAATTCTTTTGTTACTAAGCCCAACTATTTTACAAGCCCATTTGATTCTGTGCGATGTAATCACCTCAACTATATTAACTGAATACAGTTCACGTAACTCAGCGTTGTGCAACCTTCTGAACTCTCTGGTTAAATCATCTTTCTTCGGTCCGAATATTCTACACAATATTTTATTTTCAAAAACCTTAAACGTTACTTATCTCTTAATGTAAGCGGTCACGTTTCGCAGCCAAAAAGAACTGTAGTTAGGGTAATGGTTTTATAGATTCTAGTCTTTAAATTCCAGGACAAGATGCGCGAGCTAAGTAGTTTTGTCACAGAAAAATAACGAGAATTTCCCGCCTTCAGCCAAACCTTAATGTCCCCTTCAATTTCGTTTTTTTAGTCATCATAGACTCTTGATACTTAAACTTCTCTACCTGTCCAAACATGTTACCTTCTATATCAACATCACCAGCAATATCGCCATTTTTGCATCTAACCATATATTTTGTCTTATTCGTGTTTATTTCGAGCCATAGTTCTTTACCGGCTTTCATTAACGTTGTCGTATTTAGTTTTATTGTTTCCGTGCCTTCGTTTAATAGGACCAGATCATCCACACAGCCAAGCACGGGTGTTGTTCCACCCAGATCCAACCCATTTTCTGTACGCATCACATCCCTAATGGCATGTTCTAATGCCAAATTGAACAGGACAGGCGAAAGGGAATTGCCCTGTTTTAAACCAGAACGAACCTCAACCTTTTCGGATTAATGATTCCCGATTCTAACTTTATTGAGTGTTTCCATCAAGCACATCCTGACTAGATTTACTTATTATTTTGGAATCCCCTGCTCAATTAGAATATTATACAGTTTCGGGCGGTCAATAGAATCGTTAGCCTTTTTGAAATCGATATATAGATGGTGAATAACACCATTGTACTCTAATTTTTTCTCCAATATTTGCCGTAAAGAAAATATTTGATGAATAGTCGAACGATTTCGTCTAAATTCGCATTGGTAGTCACCTACAATTTCCTCGGCATATTCTTAGATTGGTCTTGTGAATCAAAGTGAATTATTTTATAACATACCGGAAGGAGTGAAATTCCTCGATAGTTATTACAATCCGTACTCAGACCCTTTTTGTGAATCGGAATAAGAATAGATTCTTTCCATTCTTCTGATAATTTCTCATTCACCCAGATCTTTTTAATCAACAGATGTATTTTAGAAACTTCAGCTTTCCCGCATGCCTTAATTAGTTCACAAGGAATATTATCGGTTCCCGCTGCTTTATAAGATTTTAATTTTCCGATAGCTATTTCAACTTTCTCTTTACTAGGTTCTTCTATTAACAGTTCCGCACTCTGATACTCAGAAGCAGGACACAGATCATAATTTCTCGTATTTCAAATACTGTCAAAGTGGCTCTTAAACTTATTTAATATGTCTGTGGGATCGATCAGAATATTGTTATTTTCATCCATAATTCCAGACGTGACGTGCCCTAAACATTTTCGTGATCTGTTTAACCTTTGTACATGTTTCTTACGTTATTTACGATTTTTATATATTTTTTTTAAATATTTTTATATACGATATTTTTAAGATATTCCCTGTTTTTATTTTTGAGCAATTTTGTCGTTTCATTCTTAGAGGTTCGGAAGTATTCCAGATAGTCTTCCTAGGATTATTTAGAGCTTTTAATTTAGTGGCTTTTCTTTTTTTGCACATGTTTAAGCAATCTTCATCAAACCACGGTTTGTTATTCTTATTTTCCTTTTTTCCTAGACACAAGTTACCGACCGCTTTAATATTATCTCTGATCCCTACCCATAACTTTTCAATATCCTCGCGGTCCTCACCAGAAGGTTCTAGAGCTTCAAACCTATTCTTTACATCTAGCTCGAATTGAGTTCTAATTGATGGATTTTATAATTTTTCCAAATTAAAATTCTCGAAATTGAAACAGTTTTCTTTTCTCTTTTTTATATTAGGTTTTTGACGAAGTTTTGCGATTACTAATTCATGATCCGACCCACATTCTACTCCACAATACGACTGTACATTAATTATACTGATTAAAACATACAAGTCATAAATAAAACACTATATATAACCTACATAGATACAATATCTTAATTAATTACTGTTACCATTTTTAAATGAATGAAAAGTCAATTTTATTATGGGGACATCTTGTCGCCTTAAAATAATACAAATGTACAATTCCAGAGAAATTTTTCTGGCTTCAGATTATAATACTAGTATAGTTTTAAACAATGAGCAGCAATCAGAAAAAGTAATCAACAAGCAGAAACATGTGCAACTAAATAAAGTAGTAACAGCATTTCAATTTTAGTTTGAAAAATTATAAATCTGATTACCTCTTCAACATTAACATTTTCCTTAGCACTTGTTTCAAAGAGCTGAATAGACATTTGATCAGCAAATCTTTGAGCATCTTCTGTTAAAACAACTTTACTATCTGGAGCATCATTTTTATTTCCAACTGAAACAGGACATAATAATTAATAATATCAAATGAGAATACACAGTTTACCAATGAAAAATTAAGCAATTAAGGTTGGGAAGTTAGTTGGGGTTGCAGTCGGAGAAAACAAAAATATAAATACAAGATTTATATCTTATATAGTGCTAACGTTTCAGCCTAAGTTGCAGGCCTTCAGCAAGGCTCAGAAAAGACAAGATAACGATTACTAATAAGGTAATCATTAATTAAAGGATATTTTATAATGACGATATTACTCTGTTTATTAATTATTAACTTATTACTGTTACTTTGTTACCTGTAATTTTGCTATTTTTCATTATAGCTTCCTTATATTTTCGTACCTTACGATTATATATAATACTGTTATATTTTTATTCATTCCTTATAATTTAATTATTAGTAGACAACATACGCTACGGTCTCATATCCTTTTCCAAATAGTTTTTAGTAATTTTGATTATCTATTTTCAGCCCTGATGAAGGCTTGCAACTTTAGGCCACGTCAGCACAATATAAAAACATCTGCCAAGTAAGGTCAGAATAGCTTCCTCACTGTTTCATTGGCAAAAATATATCTATATTACAAGGTATATAATTTTTGGTATGAGAATAAACTCTATGGGAGAAGCCAATTCAGAAATACAGTTACTCTTTAACATTCAAGGGTTTGATCTCCACGAATTTCTTTTATCAGCTAATATTAAAATGGCAAAAGAGTGCCATATGTGAAGATTCCGAATTTATTCTTAAAAAAAAACCTTGTATATAAGGTATGATATGGGTAATAATTTATTTATTTATTTTTTAGCTTATTTATTCTTATTTATGTATATATATTATTTTTTTCTGTATAATTTATTTTACATACTGTTGAATATGATCAGTGAACACTATTTAGAAATGTCCTTGAGACAGATTGTAATATTTTAATTGTCCTCTGCTATTTTCTATCTAGGCAGACTTCTTAATCAGTTGCAGGCAACAAAATGTCACCTTAGCAACAAATAGAATAAAAGTTGAAAATTTTTATATACGAATCTTTTGTACTAATAGTATGGATATATACTTGATAGGTACATTTTCAGTTTCGTAAAATGGATGGAACAAGAAAATCCATAGACAAGTTTCTAACTTGTTTGTTGTTCAGAGTTACGAGACCAATAATTTTCTTCAGTGAGAACACAACTAATTAAGCTTGAATATGAAAAATATGGGTGAAGTTTCACACAACTTCGATATAAGGAGGAAAATCGAGACCAAGACGAAACTGATTGAACTTCCAATGAAAATAAACACAATCGCAAATAAACTTTTTTTGTTTAGCAAATTCAGAGTAGAAAATAACTTTAAATTTACTGAAATATTACACGAAATCTAATAATACAGTAGAGTGTCATCCAGTAATGTTTTGGAATTGACCAATACAAAACAGTATCATTAATTTTTTTAATAAAACCTAAAATTTTATAAACCACATTACAATAATGTAATAACCTGAACTCCATGTCATATGATCAGTGCCTTCAACATTTCATAGCCATTATATTGTTAACAATTATTTATATTAATTTGAATTATTAAATGGAATTCAATGAAATTGATACTAAGTAATTTCTATACTGTTCTCCAAATTTCCTCAAAATTTTGGTCAAATCGAATGTCCAGTTTTCAAACTATAGGCATATCAAATAACACATTTCCAGATCTAAAAGCGGAAGTACTTTTTTTTGGAGTGGTATATAGAATTTGATCAAATTGATGCCTATTTCATTTTACCTTCACCAATCCCTAAATTCCCTCCAAATTTAAGCCAAATCAAACTTGCAGTTTTAGAGATATAGATGTATCAAGGAAAACAAGTTTGCACATATATAAGAGAAAGCAATTGACAGAATTCAATAAAATTTACCTTACATTATTTTTTCACAAATACCCCTCCCTACCTTTTATCCAACTTTGAGCCAAATCGAGCTAGCAGTTTCTGAAATATTGGCATATCTACGAAAATGCGTTTGCGCGAGCGTAAACGGAAGTGCTGGTTAGAATTTAATAAAATTTATACGGGGCCATCTAGACACCAACCCGCACAATTCCTGAAAATTTCATGAAAATCGACGGTAGTAGGTGATATGCCCGTTACATCGATTTGACTACAGACAGATATAGACAGACATCGAACCAAATTTCATCCTTGATGTCTGAAACATAAAACGCGAGTGAAAATTTTCGATTCTGAGCACAAAATTTTTTTTAACCTCTCGAGCACGAATACAATGCTTCTCTACCTTCGGTAGTGAGGAAGGAATAAAAATCTTTTATTTTTATTTGTTCTCTTTGACTGCTACCCCAACAAACTTTCCAACCATATATTCTACAGTAAAAAATTTCTTCACCATTAATAAATAATTAAATTTGATAAAATAAAATGGTTTAAAATTTAATTTAATTAAATCATTATTAAATAGAATGATTCAAAAATCAATAAAATTAGATTAAATACATGTAAATATAAAATAAAAATTATTTGTTTGAGTAGATATTATACTCAAACACACCTTTCAAGCTCTTCATACAAGGCATCTTTCACGCCCTCTTCTGACACTTCTGTAGGTGCATGGACACATATCCGGCTAATATTGTAGAATTTCTCCTTAACTCGGAGCATGCAGAGTCTAGGACTAATCGGTTTAAAATCAATCACATTCTGAGATAGTCTTTTGTTAACAACAAAACCAGTCCCGAATGTGTGGAAGCGGTCATCACAGCTATAGTATACAGTGTGGTTTCCTTTCTTTAGGCTGCCCTGCCCGGTCCACCTGATTTCCTGAATGGCAGCTATGTCTATTTTATTGTCTTCAAGGGTATTTAGAAGCACTTGCAGTGCTCCAGGTCTATAAAGTATCAAAATATTCCATGAGACGATCATATATTCCAAACCTTTACAACCTAAAATCCTTCTTACCTACATTATTTGTTTACTCTTTGTTCCTCTATCTATTCTCAACACAAGATCCCAACCCACAAACCTGTACGTTCCTTCTCAAAGAGCTGTTTCGTTTGAAAAATCCTTTATCGTTCATGCTATCTTGTCGTTAACCACCTCCATACGTATAATCTCATCTTCATTCATTTAATATCATCTCAACTTCATTTAAACAACAATTGTTTTTCCATCTTCTCAGCTATAAATCTTCCGAATATGTGTAAAACTTAAATATTTGTATTTTAGTATTTCCAGACATTTTTACTTGCATGGGGCATCCCAACCATCTTCTCTTCAATTATTCACTACAGTCAACTATCAATACACAATTTCTTTGATACAATTGTAAAATTAGAAAAAAATATTCAAAATTATGAATTTTTTCTAATTACTCATCATAAAACAAGATATTTTGGGTCTTAATACTTTCACTAACCTATATATGAAATATTTCACCTTACAGGGCTTAAATGCCCAATGTTCATATATGTCTCCCTCTAAAGTACCTTTAATATGGTTTATTTTAAAATAATTAGTCATCTCACATTTTTAAGAGTTACGAAAAAATGCTAAATATAACTTTTGAAAGAATTTGATAAATGAATAAAGGGAACAAAAAAAAATCCTTATCCAGTTTGAAAATGAATCTCCATAAATACTAGTCAGAAGGTATACGTATAATATATAGCTGGAAAGCAGAGAATTTTAGAAAAAAAAAACAATATCTAATATAGAAAATTGTAGAAGGTAACAGAGATTGGTGAAAAAAATATAAATAATAATTTCTAAAAACTGACATTATTTAATGTAAATCGCGTGTTTTCAAGGAAAATAAATGAAATTTTCATACTAAATGTATTCTTTTAATACGTCTTTTTAGTTTGAAAAAGTATTTAAAATTCACGGATTCAAGGGAATGACACTGTTTAAGATACTATTTCATTGTACTTGTTTGAAAGAAGAAGTGAAATATAAAAATATTTTATGGATATGTTTATAACCTTCAATATATTTACTGTAGTTTAATAACTTTAGATCTGATATTATATTTAAATAATTAGGTATCTATTGTCCGTTTATTCCGAAAAATCATCATTTAGTCTTTTGGAAAATTAAATTAGTGAATAATTTGATGAATTTTCCCTTTGTGATATTCCAACAGTATCCACTTCCAATTAGTGTGACAACTTTTGATCTGTCTATGACAGACAATGAAAATCTCTTAATTACATTCTAGTAAACTTTGCAATGGAAAAAAACAGTTTAATAACAAATAAATGTTATTTTGTTATCTTAATGGTATTTCTGATTTGTTAGCTGTAAGCTTTTAGCTATATAGCAAAATTTTAATTCAAAAATTGTGTTGAATGCCAAGAAACTGGACACAAATGTTCCCAGTGTACTCGAAGGAAACCACATTTTGATCAGAACAGGTGGACTAATCCCTATGGAAATTTTGGTGGTAGTGTGGATACAAAGTTATAGGGATGATAACCATGTAACCTTCCATACAGCAGATGAACAAACAAAGGCAAACATTGAAAATTCACTGTTAGAGAATTTCTTATAGATAATGGAGCCAGTTGCCATCCAGCCAAATCTGATTGTAAAGGATATTTGTTTGATGGAGTTGAAACCATTAAAAAAGTTGTGTAGCTAAGGTTGGTAAAAGTGTCAGAGCCTCAGCTTGTGGAAAATTAGCAATGTTTGCTGAAAACGACTATGAAATAGACTTAGTGAAGGTGTTGGTGTGTAGTAATTTATCTAAAAACTTACTATCAGTAAGGTGTATGGAAGAAGCTGAGTTAAAGGTAGTCTTTGAAAATAGTCAAGTTACTGTGTGGCATGAAAAACATCTTTTTTCTGGCAGTAAAATAAGAAATTTATACATTTTTTTTCTTAAAGTGGACTATGCAAACTTAGTTCAATGTAATGATGATTTGATGCATCGAAGAACGAGCCACTCTAGAAAAAAAAATAAGGGCCACTCTAGCAAATATCCTCCTATAAATAA